ATGACTTGCCCTTGGTGAATCCATGTTGACTGTTCCTGAACACCTTCCTGTCCTCCAAGTGCTTCAAAATAGATTCCTTGAGGACCTGCTCCATGATTTTTCCAGGGTCTGAGGTGACGCAGACCGGTCTGTAGTTACCCGGATCCTCCTTCTTCCCTTCTTTAAAGATGGGCACTATATTTGCCTTTTTCCAATTGTCTGGGACCTCCTCCGATTGCCATGAATTTTCAAAGATAATGGCTCTGCAATCACATCAGCCAACTCCCTCAGCACCCTCAAATGCATTAGATCCAGCCCCGTGGACTTGTGCATGTCCAGCTTTTCTAAATAGTCCTTAACCTGTTCTTTCACCACTGAAGGCTGCTCACCTCTCCCCATACTGTGCTGCCCAGTGCAGCAGTCTGGGAGCTGACCTTGTCTGTGAAGACAGAGGCAAAAAAAGCATTGAGTACTTCAGCTTTTTCCACATCCTCTGTCACTAGGTTGCCTCCCCCATTCAATGAGGGTCCCACACTTTCCCTGACCTTCTTCTGGTTGCTAACATACCTTTAGAAACCCTTCTTGTTACCGTTCACATCCCTTGCTAGCTGCAACTCCAATTGTGCTTTGGCCTTCCTGATTACATCCCAGCATGCTCGAGCAATATTTTTATACTCCTCCCTAGTCATCTGTCCAAATTTCCACTTCTTGTAAGCTTCCTTTTTGTGTTTCAGCTCCCTGAAGATCTCACTCCGGTGAGAAGGGCTATGGCCTGGAATAACACTGCTAAACCTACCTAATGGAAAAAGAGACTTCTAATCCAGCAGTTAATGTAATGGGCTTAAAAATAGCCCAGGCATCATGTGGTTCAAAATCACCAACAGCAAACCCAAATAGAGCCTGATGATTGTAAGCTGGCAAATTAAATGCTGTCCTAGTAGCTTCAGGGATGCTCTGGGATCTGGGTTCTTTCTTGCCTGCCATTATCCACTCCTTGTCTCGGTCTAGCTGGGGTCTCATAGGGTGCCTATCGTTGCGGTATCTGGGCTCCTACCAAAATTATAAAAGGTGCTCAGAGCCATCTCTCGCAGCCCTCCTGTCAGCAGGGACTGTACGTTGGGAATTTGAAATGTATGTATTTACATTTTAAAAGAAGCCTCCTCCAACACCGAATAACCTCATCAACCCTTTCCCTTAATGTCGGGCTGGAATGGAGCTCAAGAGGTCATCAAATCCAGCCCCCTCTGCTGAGTCAGGACCAAGTGACCCTAGATCATCCCTGACAGATGTTTGTCCAACTTGTTCTTATAACCTTCCAATGATGGGGATTCCACAACCTCCTTTGCAAGCCTATTCCGGAGCTTAACTACTTAGCGAACTGCTATAGTTAGAAAGTTTTTCCTAATATCTAACCTACATCTCCCTTGCTACAGATTAAGCCCATTACTTCTTGTCCTACCTTCAGTGGACATGGAGAACATTTGATCACCGTTCCCTTTATAACGGCCCTAAACATATTTGAAGCCTGTTATCAGGTCCCCCCTCAGTCTTCTTTTCTCAACACTAAACATGCCCAGTTTTTTTAACCTTTCCCCAGAGCTCAGGTTTTCCAAACCTTTGATCATTTTTGTTGCTCTCCTCTGGCCTCTCTCCAACTTCTCCACATCTTTCTGAAAGTGAGGTGCCCTGAACTGGGCACAGTATGCCAGCTGATCCCTCACCAGTGCTGAGCAGAGCACAACAATTACCTCCTTTGTCTTACCTCCTGTGACACTCCTGTTAATACACCTCAGGACTATACAGTATTAGCTTGTTTAGCAACTGCATCATATTGTTGACTCATATTCAATGTGTGATCTGCTATAACCCCTAGCCAGTTATTCTTTTCTGCAGTACGACCGCCTAGCCAGTTTATTCCCCATTTTGTAGTTGTGAATTTGATTTTTCCTTCCTCAGCATAGAGGTTTGCACTTATCTTTATTGAATTTCATGATGTTGGTTTCCGACCAATTCTCCAGTTTGTCAAGGTCATTTATTCCTGTCCCCTAAAGTGCTCGAAACCTCGTCCAGTTTGGTGGCATCATCCATATATTTTATAAGCATAATCTCCATGCCATTATCCAAGTTATTAATGAAAATATTGAGTAGTCCTGGATCCAGGCCTGACTCGTCCAGGACCCCACGGGAACCTCCCACTTTGAGGGTGAACCATTGCTAACTACTCTTTGAGTCCACTCTTTCTGCCAGGTGTGCACCGACCTTGTAGTAATTTAATCTTCTAGTTTGTTGATGAGAATGTCATGTAGGACTGTGTCCAAAATGTTCTTCTCTCTGACACCAATACTGCCTACAAAATAAAAATATACCATGCAAGGCACTGCCCGCTGAGGGATTTGGTGGCTGATTTCAGCAGATGTGAGCAGAAAGTGGAATACACCTCCATTCCATAGTATTTAGATTCCTTCTTCTTTTACATTGCACCAAAAAGCTGATGGGTGTATAAACAACCCAGAAGCAGGAGGGATTTCTTAGAGTGGTACATGGAGGTAGAGAGAGGAGTGAAATTAATCTGTGGAATAATTTTACTTGCAGTAGGTGGCATCTAGCTACCATACTTATATGAGTCCCGTTATGAACTGTCTGAGCATCTCATAACCTTTAATGCGGTTTTCCTCCCAACACCCCTGGGAGGTAGGACAGTGCTTCTAAACCCATTTTACAGATATGGAATTGAGGCACAAAGAGACCAAGGGTACATCTACACTACAGGGGGGAGTCGATTTAAGATACGCAAATTCAGCTACGTGAATAGCGTAGCTGAATTCGACGTATCGCAGCCGACTTACCCCGTTGTGAGGACGGCGGCAAAATCGACTTCTGCCGCTTTCTGTCGGCAGCGCTTACTCCCACCTCCGCTGGTGGAGTAAGAGCGCCGATTTGGGGATCGATTGTCGCGTCCCAACGGGACGCGATAAATCGATCCCCGAGAGGTCGATTTCTACCCGCCGATTCAGGCGGGTAGTATAGACCTAGCCCAAGGCCCAGATCCTTAAAGGTACTTAGGTGCCTAACTCCCATAGATGTTACGCATCTACATATCTTTGAGAATCTAGATCAAAATGACCTGCCTGAGGTCAGCTAGAGGGGTGTGTAGCTCAGCAAGGAATTAAACCCAGGTCTCCTGAATACTAAATACCCTAATCACTGGACCATCTTTCTCTGTTGTGTATGAGCAGTTCAGGTACAAACCTGAGATATTTGAAACTAGACTGGGAAAAATACCAGAAAACATCATGTCCGGAACCTTCCTGCTTGGCAGCTCGGGATATGCCAGATGACCTTTCCCATCTCTAACCTCTATCAGTCGATGATGCTATCACTTCTGCTCCCTGAAGCCAGCGACATGCCAACACTGGGTGCTGCTGGCACCCCTCATGGATCACTTGGCTCCCAAGAGGGGAAGATTTCATGGACGAAGCTGCTGGTGTGAGCCTATAGATTGGGCTAATCCAGCATACGCATTGCTCTCCATGGGCAGTATTCTATATTCCTGGGGGAAACACCATAGAAACACCCATGGAAACTCCCCATAGGGAAGGGAAGGAGGGAGCTGTGACATGCAGAGCCTGAACAAGCAAGGAGAAGGCAGGCAAACTGCAGCACTTCACTCGAGCTACTTCCTCTGCCTTGGGGATAAAAGAGGCCATTTATTAAAAGGACCAGGCCTAGTTCTCCTCTCCCTTACATTGGTGTAAATCAGGAATAACTCATGTGATGTCTGTGGAGCACCGTGGTTTAAGGCAGATCAGAATCAGGCCCCTTTATTCCAGTGTGGTCAGGATAAAATGAGTCCCAAGCACAGCCCAATATTTAATGCCATCCTACTGTTTTTACTGCACATATTGTCCTGACTCTGCGATCCTTAGTTATATAGAACACTCCGCATTCATGCAAGCGGAGGGGGGAGACTCTGAAGCCCATGGAACTGTTGTTGTGCATAAGGGTAGCAAGGGGAACCCAGAAGTACTGCAATCAAGGGTAAAGAGTTTACCCACTTCTCTTTTGGGGAATATAAAGTTTAGTTAGGTTCATTTATCCCTCTCTCTTTTTACCACTACCCCACTGGAATCTGGGAAGAGATGGCTTTCCTTGCCCAGGAGAGAGTGTGTGAACTGTCTCTTTAACTGAAACCTGCAGACATATACTTCACCTCGTTTAATGATTCACCTCCCAACCAGCCCACTTGCACCTTTGTAATCTTTTTGAAGGTTAACTTGTTGATCCAGCCTTGGTGTCTTGCAAGAGGCAGCAGCTTCTCAGAGAAGTTTGGAAGCCCAAGTGGCACATTCTCTGGCAGAAGTCACTTTACTCGACTCTCAGGATCTGGGGGAATAGATGGGAGGCTTGGAAAGGGAATGAAAAAAGGGACCAAAGAAAGGGGAGAAAAAACTCTTAGATTTTGCTTCTTACTCTTTGGAGACAGATGGATTTTTAATTCTGTTTTAGAGGAATAATTGGTTAAAAATAATCCTATAGGGAAATAATTTTTTTAGGACATATGGAGTTAAAATATGATTGATAACAATCTATGTAACCATGCCCTGGATTATAGGTTACTCAATACAGCTCACAGACAGGGAAGAATGTAGTTACCATACACTTGATGCAGATAAATATCCCATGGAATTCTTCCTCATGACTGTAAGATCCAACTGACTGTTGCTTGCTGCTGCTTTTATTTATTTTTTAATTATTTAAAACACAGAGAACCCCTACTGGAATTATTCGTCTCGAAATCAGCTTCAATTACCCCAGCCATTTTACATTCCATCATGAAAAAGGAGAGAAAATTCAATTCTTTATCACACACTTAAAAAACCCCCCTCCAAATAAAATAAAATAAATCCCTCCCCACTTACTAGTATCCTGACAAATAATGTTGCTATCCATTTACTGTATCTAAATATATAGTCTGTAATTCAGTCTACCTGGTATTATTTAACTCTATCTCTACTAATAGAATATGTGTAAAATACTTTGTAAACATACAGACACAAATGAAGCTTTCCCAAATAAAGTTTGCTAGCACCATCCATCCTTTTAAAAAGGATACACAGAGCTAAAGGATTTCAGGAGACAATTAAACAACTTATTGACATTTTCCCCTTTATTTATTGATCTCTTCCAATTAATTAACTGCATTCTTTTTTAAGTATAGTCACAAACATTTCATGAACCAAAATTGTACTGATCACTTAAAGAACTGTATAGACAAAGCATTACCATTTTATTTGAAGAAAGAAAATGAAATGCAGATAACATTAACCACCTAGATGTCTAACAAAACAATTAATAAAACAAAAACTATCAAAATAGTATTGGTTTAGAGTAAGAATTAAGGGTCGTATGCAAATCCATTGAAGTCAGTGGGAGTCTTTCCATTTTTGGATCAGGCCCTTTGTCAAATATTGTTGGAGAAACTTCCTAGCTCACAAAGTTCTTCTTATGAAATCAAAATGTTTTCCACGGCTGACTTTTGTTACCCTGGATTTGGCTGGGCCTTCTATAGATAGTAATAATGAATAAGACTCTGATTCAAAGACTGCCCTTGATCAATTTTTTTCAGGCAAACCAAACACTTATGTAACAGAGGCTTGAATCATCTCAGGGATTTTGTCTGTTTGTTTTGTTTTTAATCTCATTAGTTGATTGTTAAGAGAGGTGCTAAAAAAAGCCATTTCTAGCACAGCTTAAAATACATGGTGAGTTTTAAATTTCCAGAAGTCTCATGCTTAATATTTTCAAATGAGACAAATTCTAACAAGAAGCAGCAGGAAAAAAAAACAAACGAGTAAGGCATTGGCAAGGGAGTATGGAATGTATGTTTATATTTGAAAATGTTAAAATGATCAGTGGTACAACGTCTTCGTAAATTTCCCTTACTACACGTGGATCACTTAATTTTGCTCTACTTAATCACTAACAAACTCAGCAGAAAAGGACAAAACCAAACCAAGCCCCAGAGACTTTGGTCTGTAATTGGTTAAAAATTGATTGGGGGCAGAGAGGAGGATGGATAATTTTCTGTGATTGGCTGGATGCTCACTAGTACTTGGGCTTGAAATTTACCTTTTAAACCAAAGATCAGGTACGCGTGGCATAGAATTGTGATGCTTACTTGCATGGTGATGGGAACAATAGATACCCTTACATACATACTGTGTAATTACTGTTCCTGGATGTAAGTATTTGCAGGGATAGATAGATAGATAGATAGATAGATAGATAGATAGATAGATAGATAGATAGATAGATAGATAG